CAAAACATTTCGTTCGCCAAGGGTTATCGACTTCCTGGGGCTTACATCTGCCCCCAAAATATTTCGTTCGCCAAGGGTTACCGACTCCCTGGGGGCTTACAACTGCCCCCAAAATATTTTGTTCACCAAGGGTTATCGACTCCCTGGGGGTTTACTGTGCCCCCAAAACATTTCGTTCGCCATGGGTCATCGACTCTCTGGGACCTACCTCCATCCCCTCGAACGGTTCAAATAGCCGATAAGGACCTTTAGCGTACGACCGCGAAAAATTTCAACTCATGTTGCCACTGAAGCAATAGCACAATCGTGCGCATCCACCTCAGACCATAGGTCTCGGGCGTCTCATCCCAAGTGGGTGCACATCCCATCTCAAGGAACGAGGATAATCTCCCTACTCAAAAAATAGAACATCCCCAAGGGGGTGAACGTCAACCACCTAAAAAGAGAGAAGAAGAAAAAAAGAAGAAGATGGAGAAAATGGAAAAAGAAACAAGAAAAAAAGAAGATATAGAAAAAAGAAGAAGTTGACGAAAAAAGAAACAAGAAAAAGAAGATAAAGAAAAAAGAAGAAAATGAGAAAAAAAAAAAAAAAAGCAGAAGAAAGAAGGAGAAGAAAATGAAGAGAAAATTATCCCCAAAGGGGGACAAAATATATATATATATATATATATATATATATATATATATATATATATGGGTGCCTTCCAAGTGGCAGCGCGCGCGGCCGGCCAAAAAAAAAAAAAAAAAAAAAACAAGAAGGAAGGCTGCCAGCGCGTGGAGAACCGCGCGCCTCACCGGTACGCTCGCGCGCTGGCAGACTAATGAAAAAGGGAAAAAAAAAAAAAAAAAAAAAAAAAAAGAAAAAGAGAAATGCAGCAGCACAAGCACGTGGACATCAGCACATCTCTCAAAGCACCAAAGCAAGCTTTTCTCTCTCCTCCATTAATATGCGTCCCATCACCCATCACCTCTCTTCTACATCAAATCCTACGGCTACTCCATCAAGTGGCGCGGCTATGTCTATACCCAACAGATCGCGCGCGGTTTTCTACTAATTAAACCACATTGCGCGCGAATTTCAACACGACACGTTCCACCAAATCGCGTACCGATTTCACCTCGCTTCACAAAATCGCGCGAAAATTTCAACGCGCTCTATCAAATCCTGTGTGCTCTCCAAATAAAAATTATTATTTCTCCACGCCACACCAACAGTACATGGAACACTACAACACAGATCTACTCTCGACGCGATCCTTTCGACTTGACCCCCACATCGAATCGAGAGTGGGGGGCTTGCGAGATAACTCCCACGAGGAGCAAACTCGCTCGGACCTACAACCCCTTGCGAGGAAAATCCCACGAGGAGACCACTCGCTCCGTCCTACAACCCGCAGCGAGACAACTTCCACGAGGAGCCAACTCGCTCGGTACTACGAACCCGCAGCGAGACAACTCCCACGAGGAGCCAACTCGCTCGGTACTACGAACCCTCAGCGAGATAACTCCCACGAGGAGCCAACTCCCACGAGGAGCCAACTCGCTCGACACTACAAATCCGTTGCAAGGCAACTCCCACGTGCAGCCACCTCGCTCGATAATAAGACTCGCTGCGAGACAACTCCCACGAGGAGAGAAATCGCTCAGAGCGACATCAATCCGCACACTCGTCAGTCGCGCGTCATCCAATGATTCTACAACTTCGCTGCGAGACAACTCCCATGAGGAGACAACTCGCCCGAAACTCACTATATAATCGCAAGCTCAAGTTAGCACGATTACAACCCTAGAAACACTTAGAAATATTATGGGAATCTATATAGCCTGGCCAGCTTGATTACTCAAATTTATCTACTTGTTTTCGATGGGTCCTTCATTAAAACGTGGCCACGGTCCAAACATACTTACGACCCACGAGGTCTAACAAAGGGCACGATCCCCATATAAAAATCTTGAGAGCCTGATCCCCTCCTCAAGTACATCACGCACAAGGCTATATGTAAACACATACAAGCAACGCGTCACAACATTGACAATATCGATAAATAACAACTCCCAAGAGGAGAATACTCGCTCTGTGCTATTGCATTATCGCGAGACAACTCCCACGAGGAGATAACTCGATCAACTCTATTACCCCGCGACGAGACAACTCCCACGAGGAGATAACTTGATCCGAGCTATTACATCGTCGCGGGACAACACCGACGACTCAAGTAACTTACATCGCGACAACTTGGTTGCGCTACGCGCCAACGCGCCTTCACGCCCCTCCGACACACGCTCCGATGCGTTTTCGCACACCATTAGACCATACGCCAACGATCGACTTCTACAAATTTTACTCTCGACACGATCTGACACTCATTTCTACATGGCCCCCACATCGAATCGAGAGTGGGGGGCTTAATGATATGCATAATTGGGCCAAACCAATGGGCCTACAAATTACTTACCTACTGGGCCACGAGCCCAATATCGAAGACCACTATCACCGATGCCCAATCACCTTCAACTAAGGTTTGGGCCCGACAATCTCAACTAAGCTATAAATACACATTTGAACTCATTCCATAAGGTATGTCCTATTAACTGAGCAATACTACAACTGTATTCTCTGGACTATTTTCTATGATCAGCACGTCTGACTTGAGCGTCGGAGGGGTTTCCGCCGGATCAACCCCCGGCTTAGTTCATGTGTTCTATGATCGCAGGTACCTCAGGATCATCAAGTTGTCAAGCTACTGATCCGCTTTGCTCTCCCAGTTCGTTTTCTACACTACCCCAGGTGATCTAAGTAATTAGCATCATCACATAGTATTAATGTTTTGACTGTTAAATTTTCTCGGCCCTCCTCTTTTACCCGGGCTTGGGACCGGCTGTGTTGAGCAAATAAAATATTGCAGGCACAGGCAGAGTTACAATAATAAACCTATATATACAACTACCAACACTAAAACACACCCATATAATCACAGATAGATATAAGCAAGGAAATTGTACATACCATTCCAGACGACAAATATTAATTAAGGCCGAGAAATATTTGAATTCATATAACATATCTACTAATCGACTAATGCCTCCAGGCTATTATTACATTCGACAAAATTGTTTTTAAGAGTCTTCGTACTGGCAAACAAGTAGGTTAATTTTATAAGTAAATTAATAAATACGGTATCCCACTAATCCCTAAGCAGCTAAAAATCACAGAAAATAGTGGATGGGATAAACGCTTAGTTACTAGAAAAAAAAACTTTCGTACTCGTTTAAATCATTTATTTCCTTTTTTTTTTCTTTTAATTATTGTGGCGAACATTACTGATGAAGGAAAAACCTCATTTGAAAAAAATTGCCAAAGTCGTATCGGGGACAAATCTAAGAGGAAATAAATTTTATCAACTGATACTTACACATTTACACAGAAACAAACCTAATCAAAAAAATTCACTGAGTCTTGAAAAATGCATCACTTCAGCGTATTACTAGTGTTGGATAAAAACATTAACCCTCAATCTGCAGAAGACAATTTCACGCAATAGAAGTACAAATCACGATGAAGAACTGTGCACAATGGTACTCCAAAGCATATTCAATAGATTTCAAACATCCTTAAAACAGCAGAGCAGCGAATCTAAAATCTCTTCATAAGAATCACAACATACGAGCAGAAACCAAGGCCCTAACAGTCAACTTCAAATACGGCAGCCACTTGACAACAATGGATCATAACATCAACAAATCACTACATGCACGAAATCCAACTAAAGCACGTTTATTATTCTGAGATAAAAGTGTCATGAAGCAAGTTAATATGATAAAAGTGTCTCCTGGAATCGAGAAATTCACGATAGGGATGATTAACTGAAGACTGGCAAAGAAAAATAAAGTAGATAAAAAGTCACAGATACGGAAAAGCGAACCACCCAAAGATAAAAAGTTAATAACCAACAAGTGAAAGAAGAGTCAAAATTCTCGACACATAGTAGGCAAAAGTTCAGTTATGAATATGATTTTCAGGCTCTAGTTAAAGCCCAAGAGAATATCAATGTCAACATCCGTTTTAGTAGTCATACCGAATTATAATTTTACTAGATTACATAGAAAAGTGAATTTTTGGACAAATAGAGACTTGAGTTAGAAAAGTGAATTGTTGTTCTTTTGTGGTCTCTCCTTCTCTTTCTCTATTATTGTTATTTACGTTCTTATGTATTTCAACAATCACCAAACCAAAGAGTTAGATTAAATAGGTCATTTTACAACAACAATATACATAAACTGAACAATTTTCCAATTTTCAAATCCTAAACTTCCTAGACAGCAATTTTATACAAAATTATACAACTCGGATTTTCGCAAGCATATCAAAACCGGCAAAAATTCAGGGAAGACAAGCATTTAATTGATGCATAGTTAGTTCTTTTATAAACATACAACAATATTTTTATTCGAAAATCATAATGACAATGTTGTGAACTGAATAATCTGATTGAATTCTATAATGGAAGCTCACGTTATAATCAATATTAAACAAGCTAAAAATTATACAATTTTCCAATTTTCAAATCCTAAACTTCCTTGGCAGCAATTTTATACAAACTTATACTAGTCGAATTTCTTTAAAGGAAAACTAAACAAATTTGGCACACAAAGCATATTCGGATGTTCGAATGCTACTTCTTCAAGTTGGGTTAGCGTTCCTAGAACCATTCCGGTATATAAACACAATATTGCAAGAACCCGGGCGTACCTAACTGACGCATAGTTCTTTCATACATAGTACAATGCTTCATTACAAAATGATAATGACAATGTCGTGAAACGAATAATCTGATTGAATTTTATAAAGAAAGCTAACCTTAATAAACGAGCTAAACGCAACAGAATTCCTAGCTAAGAAACAAGACGCGTCTAATTAATAATCTAAAAACAAATTATAGATTGAGCAGCCAAGAAGCCTTCATCATCCAGTAGATATATATCAAACTAGACTGCGAGTCTTAATCTATAACAATAACTCGTCTCCTCCTGGAAACAGCATTCAGATTAGTGAAGAATAGACTATTCTTATACGGGTCCAAATCAACGAAACACAACTCATCGTCTACAAATTCTTCGAAAGTATTGTCACAAGGGCTATATATTAGAAATCTTGCACTTTCCAATCGAATCACAATCTTGTCTTCCAAAAAGCAAAGTGGCCTAAACGACCAAATCGAAGTCGGCACATTCTCAATAACCAAGAACTCGTTCCAGCAGTTCTTGAAGCTGCTGCCCTTTTCCTTAATCCAGAACCGAACCTTCGTCTCATCCCCTAAAGTGTTGCAATACAAACACAGGCTGTCATTCAAACAAGCCACGAAAACATGGTCCTCGTCGGTTAGTTGTTTAGGCTTCTGCAATCTCTTGAGCTTGTCGATTCTGGAATCGAAATACACCACATGTCTAACATCCTCCTTGTCTCTCCAAACCCAATAATAAGCTCCGTCAGCGAAAACCCCCGAATCGGTACCTTTGAACGGGAACCCTACCCTACGTGTCCAGGTATCGGTCTTGCAACAAAAAACAGCGTAATTCTTTCCGGCAGCGAAAACAACCTTGAAATCGTGGATCACGGGATCGTAACAGACCGTAGTTCATATCCTCGTAAAAGGTGTATCTGAAAGTGAAATACGTCTCCGTACGAGTGGATGGATTCCACAATGCGTAGCACGTGGGCTTGAAATAGGAATCGGTTAACAGAAGCACTCCGTTGCAATGGCATAACACTGTATTCCAGCCATATGGGCCGCTTAATACAGCTTCTCTGTGGAATTTTTGAGCTTCTAATTTAAGCAAAGAAAAAGCTCCTTGAAAAGATCTGTTCTTGATTAGAAAGAGATTCGGAGAATTCGAGAATTGAAGATGGGTGTGGGCAAAAACAGGATTGGAGATAATGGAATTCCATGATTTGGAAACTGATTTAAACCTAAGAAGAGACTTAATCGGTAGGTGTAATAGGATAATTTCGATGATCTCGTTCGGAAGATTTGAGGTATGGTGTTCAATTGACATGGCCGATTGATTACTTCGCCGATGTTCTGGTTTTAGGGTTTGTAGAGCTATCAGTCTATAAATGGAGGCGTGGATTTTTGGTTTGTAGCGTTTTCTGCAGGCGTTGGGATTAAATATTGGGGCTCAATTACAAGGCGAATTAGAGAAGGAGGATCATATTTCCAGGTAGAAAGTTTTAGGCTTAATCCCACTTTGTACCGTTAAAATATACCATTTTGACACTTTGTCCACTCGAAAAATAATAATAGCACCATTAAAAACACAATAAATCATCCACAATGCACCCACTGGATTGAATGATAAAGGTAATTTCATTTTTCGTTGGTTTTTTTTTTTTTTTCGGGGTGCAAAATAAAAAAAAAAATTGTTATTTTCTTGAACCTCCAAACTATATTGTTTTTTTTTCGGGCAATTTCATTTCGAGCGGACAAAGTGCGAAAAAATAAAAATTACACCGGATTATTTAAAAAAACTATATTTTCCTAAAAAAAAAGCTTTTATTACTAAATTATTCGATTGATGGATCTTTTATTGTATCTGATTGAAAATCTTAAGTAAAAATATTTGGAAGAAAATATGATTTTCAGATAACTTGATAACGGAATAACTGATTTTACAATATAACTCTAAAATGTTTTCTCCCTTGTACTTTGGTTCGGTATCACTTTACCCCTTTCTATTCTCGATTGAATCGATTTGCCCCCATGCACTTGAAAAATTGACTCATGTGGCCCTCGTTGTTAGTTGTCAGACATTTGACCGTAAAACCGTTTGGTCTAAGGTCTGAAATTACAAAAATGCCACCCCTCCCCGTTAAAATAATTATTTAAAAAATAATAAAATTAATAATAAAATAAATAAATTCAAAACAACAAGAAAGAATAGTCCACTACGGCAACCATAATTTATTTATTTTTAATTTTTTTTTTATATAATTTTTTAAACTAGGAGGAGTATTTTTTTGTAATTTTTAGACATTAGACAAAACGGTGTTCCAAACGGTGTTAATGTCAAATGTCTTAAAACTAACGACGAACGCCACATTGAGACAATTTTTCAAGTGCAGAGAGGTAAACCGATGCAATCGAGAGTAGACTGGGTTAAAGTGATATCAGGCCAAAGTACAAGACAGATAAGTAGAATTTATCCTAGAATAATCCACTAACTCTCAATTTGTCAAAGTATATATTAATATAGAGATTATTTGATGGACCCCTCAAATGGAAAATATTTGGAACTAAATACAATGGAGATTATATCCTGGTGCATTCTCTCTCCATCTTGATGTTAATCTTGGATACTCATGGCCACTTTGAAGTACCTAAATGGTCTTTTAAAATCAGTTTCAAAACATAACCAACTCACATCCGTCTCTGTCTTCCTCTCTCACTCTCACTCTCAGATCTCAATTTTCGCCCACATAGGTTTTCAACTGGAGATGTTGCTTCCCGGAGTCATATGTCTCTCTCTCCAGTGGTTGAAATTCGATGGTTTAACTACCGTTGGATCCCCCTCGTCGAGCTTTTTCTTTTGGGTGGTGATTTCGTACAGTTTGGAGCTTTAGACATGTCTATGCAATCGTTTTACAGTCGGCGCGTATTTCGACGACGGTGGATCTTGCCGGAAGTGTAATTTGTGTTCAGGCAGTCGGAATTTGACGGGTTACATGCCGTTGGATTTCTCTCGTCGAGATCCCTATATTGATGGAAATTATGTTAAACTTTTTTATATCTTTTTACAATTTTTATCTAGATTTATTTATATATCATTGCGAGCGCGAAACCTTGGGATGTTAGCGGCGGCTAGGGTTTTGGTAGGAGGCGCTTGGGGTGAGGAGTCATTGGTGGATTGGTCTAAAACTCATAGCATTTCGCAGCAATGACCCCCTCTCTCTCTCTCTCTCTCTCTCTCTCTCTCTCTCTCTCTCTCTCTCTCTCTCTCTTAGTGTTTGTTGAATTTTGAGTGTTTTGATGTTTCTTCAATTTTTGTTAATTTGCACTAAAATATTTTTTTTATTTTGATTTTGCAATTGCAGCTTAATGTAAGCCATTAATCTTTTTCTTGAAGGTCAAAAAATTGGTTAAAGTTACATCTGCTTCAATTTACAGTGTTCTACAGACTGTAAATTATACATTACTAAACATTTCTAATTACATATAGTAACAAGTAGTAACATATGCATGTATTTGTGTATTTTCTATTTGTATTTGTCTTTATGAGTTGCTTTATAATATAATATTGAAATTGTGAATTTTTGTTGTTGGTGTTTATGAATTTATTCTGTATAAGTCAATATTCGTACGTATACATGATTGGTCAACTACAAATTTGGGGTAAAAACATGACTATGAATGACTACAGTTTACTATAATTACATGTAGTCATTTTCAGTACAGTAAACATATCGATTTTAAAAAAGAATTTTTTTTATAAATTAAAAAAAAACTATAAAAAAGGGCCTTAAGATATGATTCTTGATGACAAAACTTATTAAAACTAAATGACAAGTTCAATTAAACATTTGGTTCACATCCTTCATAAAATTCATTCAAAAAATGCCTCTCCACTCACAATTTCAAAATGTGCATTAAGAAAATTCAAATTGTATTTATCATTTATTTATTCTGCATATAATATTTTTATATTTCCATCTAACATTTTTATCTTTTTTACGGGATATCCGTTTATTTTTCATTTTCTTTCTTCATTTTAGCATTTTATACACTACCACTAAAATTTGTTTTCCCTTTTTTTTTCTACATAACATGAAAATTAATGTTAAATTTACATGTTTTATAATTTGTCTGTAGTAGACTATGGTACCAAGGTGTACTATAGTATACAACGGTGTACTATAGTACAATGTACTATGCTTTACTATGGTATAATATCCCAAACCCTAGCCGCCAACAACTCCCAGCCGTCGCCAACCCTAGCAGCCAATGCAGCCGCCGCCAAACCCTAGTCGCAGTCGCCGCAACTGTAATCACCTACCAACTTTGGGAAACCCTAGAAGTTGGGTTCTCCCTCCTCCGACCAACATCGTTTCCAACCGTTCGGTTTTTTATTACATTTTTTTCAACCCCCGCTCTTCACCACCATAATAATAAAAATAATCTTATATATAAAAGAAAGATATTTTGAATTACAACCCTAAATCTAACCAAGGGGAATAATTTAAATAATCTCATATTTAAATACTGATTCCCTATATATGTGGATACCATGTTTCTAATTTTCGCCCCTATATCTGAATACACCGTGTTCTATTTTTTTTTTTTTTTCCTTCTCCTCTTTAACCACCCCCACTAACTCATCACCACACCATGATCTCAACCCATTATCAATTTCATTGTTCTATTTGACTATTTCAATTCACGAGAACTCCACAAAAAATCACATTGTTTTTTTGCCAAACCTCTTCTTCTTGGTCATTTAAAATTTTGTTCGTCTTCTTCTTCCTCACAAACTATTTTCAACGTAACCAATTGCTTTTTATAGGTAAACAATACAATATTTGTTATTTAGATTTATTTGTATCATATTTTTAAATTTCACATCACATAATAGTTGCTATCGATTTTGATTTTTTTTTACAACTCAGGCATAATTTCCATTCACAATGACTTCCCGTATGACAGCCATATGCCTTCACATAATGTTTATCTCTTTCATTGTTTGTTACATGGTATTTTTCATTTTCATAAACATATTATACCATTTATTTTTTATTTTATAAACTCATTATCTTTTATCACTTCAGGGGTTACCGTCTGTTAACGTTGGAGGCACAACAATTACTGCAACGTTGGTCGCATTGCCTGGCAAGGTGTTCCAACGTCTTCGCAGGAAAGCTCGCGTTCAAACAGATTTCACTACAGTATAATCCACTAATGTATTTGTGAAAGAAGAATTTGAATCAAACTTCTCACGGAATTGGTCATATTGTGAGGAAATAAACAACAAATTGTCTGTCAAGACCGACAATGTTCGCAACTAAGGGGTGTCTAACAAATTAAACGTTATATTGTGATAAGCCATTGGAGGTTTGCTAAATTCCTAGAAATATGTTCGCAACTCTTCTATTTTCGAATCAAATGGCACGGCCTGAATATGTTTGGGATAAAACATGTCATTTTTTAAGTGATGATATCATGCGAACGCAAAGAATTATACTGCGAAATGAAGGTAATTTTTCATATATTTTCAAGTAGTTGGTAAATTTAGTACAAAATTTCTTTTATCTACCATTTATTGTTTTATGCATTGCTGCTAATTTATTAAATTAATTTTTATATTTCAGATTTGCAGTTTGATGAAGATGATTTGAAAAAAATTGCCCTAATAGAAATTGAAGAAAAGATGCGAAGTAGCAATAAGAGTGTAACTGATTTTCCAACAATGTCGTTCCCAAACACGTCTCTTCTACCACAAGTTGAAAATACACTTATCTGTGATGAACTTAACTTAATTATGAGAGAAGTGCATTAGCTGGGAACATTCAGATTTATTGTCAAGTCTCAATGACGAACAAAGGATTATCTATGATAAGATTAGGGAAAATTATATTTTTCGTCCTCATACTTTACCACTTTTTAAAAAATATCCCTAAACATTTTGGAGTTACAATAGTAGTCATTAATCATGCCATTTTTTAACAGAATTGGTCCGCCGTTTATTTTTGCAGTTAAGTTGGATGGAAAATGGCATGTGCCTCTCACATGCCTTCAATACACAACACTACATGAAAATGGACTTTTAACAAAACGCATTGCGTCTTGTTAAAACAGATTTTTCATAATTAAAACTTGATTGAAATTCGAAATTATATAAATTCCAAAAAAACAAAATCGATATATATTGTTTTTAAATATTTTGAGAAATATTCTTTAAACAATTGAAACATTGTTTTCAAAAAATTAAATATTGCTTTCAAAATCAAGATTTTCGGAATTTAAATGAAAAAATTGTTTCAAAATAAAATAAAAATTCGATCCGAA